AGTCGCCCCGGTTTCTTCACCTCCGCCGGAGAGGCAGCCGGCAGCGGAGCCTAGGGAACAGGGTCTGGGCATCTTGCGGTCTCGGATCGCTAGCCGTGGGCTTGGCAGTAGGGTCCGCCTGTCTTGGGGGCTGTCTGCGGAGGCGGAGAGCTTCTGGAGGGGAGCAAAGTTTCATCTGCCTGTCTCTTATTTTCTAGTGTAATTTAACTTCTGACTTGGTTAATAGCAGACTGTTGACTCTTCTCGTAGCCCACGTTAATAGCATATGCACTGCCTTGTGGGCAACTTGGCTGTTGTTCTACAAGAAAAGTCGCATTTAAAGTGCTTAGCTTTTCAAGAGTTAAGCTGTTTCTCTAGCAGCGCTTGTGGATTCCTTGGTCTAAATCTTGCTTTCCTCTTTAAGGGAACATTTCTCTCAGATGGTGTTTGAAAGGCTTCTGTTAAATATAAAACGCTGTGTTGTGTTTGTATAAGTTGCAGAGGAAGTTTGGGGTCGCTATGGCTCATTGACATCACAGCATTTAAAAAAAAGTCCTTCATGTTAAATTTGCTTGGCGAAGAAAAAAATAATGTAAATTGTGAGAAGTTATCCTCTAGGCGTGCGTTGTATGACTGTGTATATTCATTAATATGCTCTTTCATTAATATCTTAATAAAACTAGCTGCACGTGAAGTGAGGAAACATCAAAGCATGAGTCAAACTTTACTTCTGTTTTGTAAAGCTTGATTTGTAAATATTTGACATTCTGTGAAACTTGCAAACACTGAGTCCATTGATCTGAAATATTAACTGTACAGAAGAAGTAAATTGATGGAAAAAATAAAAGGAGGATCAAAAAGTTAGTGGGACCTGCAATAAACTTTGGAATTACTATATAATTACGTTAGTGTTGTCTTGCTATCAGGGTTGGCTCTTAGATCTTCAGATATCTTCAGATATCATGGGGTTTCCCACAGAAATAAGAATAGTTGCCTTGGTTAATACATCTGTTTAACTTGTCTCTTTGAGGCAAATGTTAGGAAACTAGTTTTTGAATTATGACTTCTGGGTGAGCGGTGCAGACGAGTAAAACTGTTGCAGAAGAAAGAGTAATATATAGAATTCTGTTCTCTTGTTCACCTTACCTACCTTTAGGCAGTGTGTTAGCACAGGGTTTCTGTAAGTGAATCTGTATTAGTTAGACTTGGAATTAGAACTGCAGAAAACTGGTTGGCATAATCTAGATAGGCCCCAAAAGTGTTAAGATTCTTTTCCACTGAATGAATGGAGATATTGAATCTAGGTGCAAAGACAGCTTGCCTGCTGAGAGTTAGGTATGGAGATGGATGTTGAGGGGCAGGGGGCACTACTCATAAGGTTCAGTAAACTCAAGCTCTGTGTGATAATTCTTAAAGATCTCACTTTTGTCAGAAACAGCACCCCACTGAAGTTGTGAACTCAATTTTATGTAGGTGTGTGGTATACTGTAACTGGAGAATGCAGTTCCTATAATAGAGAGGTGTGTTTAGAGCAATTACAAACCTGGTAGTGCAACTTCAGCCATAGAATTTTAGAATAAAAAATGGATGTAGAAACTAAGGCCTGGGGTTAAATGGAAAATGCTGTGTGCGTGCGTATGTCCTGTTGGACTAGTCCAATTTTCAAGAATTGATTTTGCGGACATGAGAAACAGAGGTGACTTGTCTCTGACTTCAGTAAAGCCGATGGTACCACAAAGAAATATATTAAAATGGAGAAAAATGAAGATTTAACAAGAGAATTACAAAGATGGCTGAAGAAAGGAGACGAAACAAGGCAGTGCTGAAAAGGGAGGGATTGGGCTGCACGGAGTTATCAGTGGAGGTGTGAGGACTGGTCCTGTGATTGATTTTTTTCGGGGCTGACCTGGCACCAGATGTCTTACTAGCAAGTTTCATCGGCACACTTAACAACATTAGGAAGTGCCTGCATCGGGAAAGTTTTAGACGTAAATGAAGCATTGAATGATGAAGGGACTGTATTATAAGGTAAAATTCAATAACTGAAAGTACAATTGCAGGGTCAGAGTAACTGGGAATTAATAAAGTCTCAGTTCATAAGAGAAATTTTTATTATTTGGGAGCAGCTGAATAAAAAGTTCACTTAGATGAAGAGCTTGGTATCTGGAAGACTTTGGGTCACTTTTGGGTGTGATGTAAGAGGGAGAGGGCAAATGTGGAGGGCAGGATGTGTCCCGCAGGGCCTTGCACAGGTGGGGAAGAACATGAGGCATTGTGAGGCTTGACCTGGAACATGATGTAGTTCTGGGCTCCTGGGGTCTCGCAGGACTAACTCAAACTACAGCAGGTGCACGGACAGACTTCCACGTGGGATACACTTACCGTTCCCCAGATCACCTAGGACCAGTTTATCTTAGAACAAAAACAGGGAAAGCGCAGGGAGAAAGTGTTGTCAAGAAAGCAGCAGAGAAGGAAAAAAAGATATTTAAGTTGAAGGATATTGGTTATAAGAACAAATGAATTAAGCTGACTATAGCTGAACTTAAACTAAAATCATCCACTAATCAACAGAAACCTTTGATAATGTGGCTCTGGAGTAGTCTTACAGCAGGAGCAGAGGTAGGTAACAGTAAAAACAAGTGAAAGATTTAACATTTGAACTGGTGTACTTATACCTAATATGGCCTAGTAAAGTAGCAGGAAAGTGAACTTTATGAGCTAGTGGAGGAATTCCCCTCTCCATAAATCCTTTATTTTTAGATGGCAGCTATTTTAAATGTACAATGGTCAAGTTAAAATCTCCATATTGTATTTGTTGTCTGCAGAATTAACATAAACTGTTACTTCATTAAACTTCTTTTTGACTCTCTTGAAGGATGAGACTTAAACTATGAGAGAGTGCTTTTCAGAGTTTAAATACTTACCCCTTCGAACCTGCAGAAGGACTTTTAAGAGCTCACACTTGTGAGTTGGTGGTTAAGATGAAGTTCCATATGTAGGCCAATTTTCTTCTTGTTTCTTCAGAAGTAGCAGTTATCAGATACTAAGGTGGGAAAATGGAACAAGTAGATTCTAAATCAGACCCTGTGTACTATCTGTGTTGTATTTCTTAGTTTCACGTTACATGTTCAGTTACTTTGTCTATAGAATTGTAGTCTTTTTATACACTTCTATAGAAAGAAAAATATTAAAATTGTGCAGTTACCAAGCCACAGACTTAAGGGAATCTGAGGACGCTTGTGGCATGTGTGAAACAAATTCTAAGTTAATTAAAATCAAGTTTAAACTTTTTAGAGCACGAATTGGTGGGGGTCAGAATTTGTTCCTGATCTTGTGTGAGTAGATAATTCTTTTTACCTCATAGCAGTACAGGACGGAAGAATGAATAAGTTCTTAAAGCACGCTCTAAGGCCCTGGATTATCTTCAATCAATTTAAAAAAGTGCAGTTATATTTTAGCTTATATATCTTATGCACACACACATAAACATACATATAAGTACACACATACGGATACACGCATATATATGTGTGCACGCACACATACTCACGTATATATAAAAGCCTTTTAAGAACCACCAGCTACCCTTCTTCTTTTACAGATTCTTATGAATTGCTTTTGCAGCCAACGCCATGTGTTTAATGCGTGTACTTGAGCGCTCTGGCGCTCCGAGAAACTCTTAGTTCCTCTAACATCATCCCAGTCTTGAATTGTGCCAGAAAATCTATTTCTTCTCTTTTCATGCCACTGCATCGGCATACTGCCCTATGAAATAAGGATCAGATGAAAAAATGACGTAAATAAAAGGATTAGCTGAAAAGAAAGAAAAAAATCTGAAGAAAGTGAGAACAGCCGTTGGGGCCTGCTATAAGGGACTGTGCTGATGCTCCAAACAACAGTAGCTGAAGTGCTGCGGTTAAGAAATGTAAAGATATGTTTTATATAGTTGCTGTAACCCAGGTACTACAATCCTGC